TGCCGATCCCTGCTCACTTCCTGTCCCCTACTCACTTCCTGTCCCCCGCTTGTCCCTGCAGGTCCCTGCTCACTTCCTGTCCCCACTCATTTCCTGTCCCTGCTCACTTCCTGTCCACCACTCACTTCCCGTCCCCCGCTCACTTCCTGTCCCCTGTTTTTCCCTGCAGGTCCCCGCTCGACTCGGCCAGCAGCAAACAGCCACTCGTAGCTCTGGGATTTGAACCCACAGCCTGGATGGAGCTCCACCAAACGACACCTTTTCTGAACCATCAGTTCTGCTGCCTGCTGAGCGGAGCGGAGGGGAAGGGGTTTGGCTTCGGCCTCCTGTTGGTTCTGCACAGCCCAGATCAAAAAACAGAAACTGACCCGCCACCTCACTGGACCCCCGCTCGCCGTCCAGCTCGGCCCCGAGCACCGCGCCCCCCCCCCGGCCGGAGGAGCCCATCCGGTTCTCCCTGGCTGGGCTGGAGCTGTTGATGCTGGAGCTGAGCCACAACAAGCCTGCGTTTAACCCGACAAATAGTTCCTAACTGTAAAGTGATCATGGTCTGTCATTGTAGTTGCTATAGAAACGATGGGGATGAATAAATGTGACTGGGAAAAGCGACCTGGCTCTTTGTTCTCCTTAATGCACGGCGGCAGAGTGATTTAGCTCAGATGAGGTGATTAATCTGAGCTCTAAGGCAGGAAGTGGGTCACGGGGCGACGCAGACGCCTGTAGGAGGATCGCTGTTATCCAGGACCACGGTGTGAACTTTGATCAGAGGAATATCAAACCCATCTGAGGGCAGCAGGAGCGATATGACTTGATCTCTGAACACCACCTCAAAGGAAACATGGCTTTTTTACTGCTTTTCTCCTTTTCTGTGACTAATATTTGCTCAAAAGAGCACAAATTATACCAGCTGTCAGCAGCTTTTTATTTACCTTTTCATTTTTACACATACGCACGCATACATTCACTTATATTCATACATACATACATACATAAATATATATAAACACATAGATACTACATACATATACACACAAACACATACACATAAATATAAACATACATACTCACAAGCAAACGTACATACATAAATACATATATACATATAACATACACACATACATACATATATGTATATGCATAAATATATATCATTTATGCATAAATACACACACACATACATACATACATACATTTTTGAATTCCTCCTTAAATCTGTGAATCAGACAAACTCAAACTCGGTTTCATGAGGCTTTTATTTGCACAATAGCATAAGTTAGAAAGAGTCACATCGTACAGATGTTCCAGTGGTAAATACACATGGACGGCGGGACACCGACGGTGGCAAAACTGAATTCAGCCCGCTGCTGCTTTTCCTCTCCTACCAGCTTTTGGACGTCCGCTGTTCCAGGTTTTGCAAAAGCAACCATCCTTCTGTTTCAGGCAACAACCGGAACTGGACCGGACCAGAACCAGACCAGGATCGCTCAAAGTCCAGAATCAGGTTGAACGATTTTATCCTGCAAAATATTTTCTCAGTTTCTTCCGACTCAGAATCAGAAACTTATTTATTCTTTAAAGAGGAAAGCAAATAATGGAGATTTTAACTTTTCGTAGTTAGTTTGAAAAACATAAAAAAATGGTTTAGAATTTAAGTTATTTATCATCTGGATGGCGGAAACAAAGGAAAAATATGTATTTTTATTACTTCTATTCAACTCATGGAGCCATAATGTGTCATATAGGAGATGCAGCTCGCACATCTGGGCACATCTGGGCAGTGGCTGCTCTCAGTGATGAACAACCTGCATACACACCCTCCATCTCTTCCCAGCTTCTTTCAAATGAGCTGTTCTCTGTTTAACCACCTGCTAAAACACCAGAACGTGGCCTGTTTTCGGTCATTTTTGTGTGGCTGTGCAAAGTAATTCCAAACCAATCGGTGCATCTTTTTTGGGGGGGAAAATGGGCCGATCTGAAGCCCGTTTGAACCCGACTCGCTGCACATCTTCCAGCTGTCAACTTGTGAGTGAAGCAGGTTTTTCGGGTCAGCCACCGGAGAGAAAAGACCTACTTTTGGATTATGTCGGCCACATGGCGCTCTCAGATCTGTGTCAGGTGCCGCGGGTCGGGGGCTGGGTGGGTGGGTGGGTGGGCGGGGGGGGGGGGGGGCTGGCTTCTAATTTTAACTGAGGCAGCGGGGAGGGACCCCTCTGGCCTCCAGCGGGCTGAAGACAGGCGGTTTGGGGCTTGATCTGCAGGGGACGGAGGAGCAGCATCTGCATGAAGGCCATCCATTCATTATGCAGCTGGAGGCGGCTTTCTGCCCCCCCCCCCCCC